AGATGAAGGAAAAAGAATAGAAAGTGAAAAGGAACAAGAGAAGGAAAATAAGAAACCAAGATAAGATAGGTACAGAAAAAGAAATTAAATTAGGAAATATAAAAGAGAAAAAGATACAAGATGAGAAAGTTAATAAGGAATCGGCCGGCATCTGGACCCCCTATATAGGGAGATCACTAGCAACAGCCGCACCAAAATCGCGTACTTAAGAACCGGCAAGCTTTACGACTTGCTGCGCAACGCGAAGGACGCAATGGATCTCACCAGGGCCCCAGGTGTTTACTCCATTCCCATACGGGACGACAGATTCAATAGGGACTTAGTTTACATTGGCTCCACCATCCGATCAACACAGAAACGAATACGGGAACACCAAGCTGATATTAAGCATAAAAGACACACCACTGCCTTATCGACCTATGTCACCGACCCTGAAATAAGGGCGGACTTCCGGAACACCAAACTTATCAGACACGCGTTCCGCGCTGACCATATCCATCACCTGGAGGCCTGGGAGATTCACAAAGCTATCATGGGGGGCAACTGCATCAACTACAGGGATGGGGAAACACTTGCACAGGCGTGGAAGTATTTATTCGAGGAGTTTGAGCAATGGCTGTCTCAGGGGTGAAACCCGACGCGCACGTTTATTTATTTACATCGTTGGCAACATCGTTACAACGGTCGGGTTGAAACACGGCCAGTCACCACCTGAAGCAGACCTCGGTGGAGGTCGAAAGTACTTGTGGAATTTAATAGTGACATAACACTCGTAAAAAAAGGTTTTTCGTGGATTGTTATTATTCAACGCAGTGTTAAGTTGTTGGAAGTCGTTTATCTTAGTTAATAAGGAAAATGAACAGAAAAGAGATGATAGAGAGGATGAGATGGAGGTGGATAGAATAGGTAGGAAACAAGGTAGAAATGAACAGAAAAATGAAGGAGGGAAGAAGTGAGAAGGAAAAACCCAAGTAAGAACTGGTAATGGATAGAAAATTAAAGATAAGTTTTGTTAATATCTCTAGAATGAGGGATAAGTATAAGCAAATATTTTTGGCAAACTTGTGCAAGTGCAAGAGATATTCTAGGATTGCAAGGTACTAATATTAGAGATTTTTTGGATTTAAGGGAATTGAGGAAATTGTTTCCTGGTTATAATATTTATGTCATTCGCCATAAGGAGGAGTATGGGCATTGTGACGATGATAAAGAATACAATAAAGGTACGAGACTTTGTTACGGACTCAAAGAGAAGAGTTCTAGCTGGTGATATCAAAGTGAGTGATCATTTTTTGAGAATTTTGAATGTTTATGCACCTTTGCAAGTCTCTCTGAGAAAGGAATTTTTTAATGGTCTAAATAGTTTTTTGTCAGTGGATAGGGAGATTGTGTTGTTTGGGGATTTTAATAATGTTATGGTGGCATTGGACAAGAATACGTGGCATTTTTCTGATGGTTCTAGAAAGATTTTAGCTCAGGTTTTGGAAGAGAAGATTTTTATCTTAGTGATATTTTTCAGAGTGGCAATCCCAGTTCCCCTGGGTTTAGCTGAAAGAGACAAAATATGAAGATTGGACAGGATCTATTTTAATATGAAAAACCATAAAATTGTGAGTATTGTTAGTTATAATCTGAGAAATCAAGTTAAACTATCTGATCACAAGATGGTAGAGGTTGAAATGGTGATAGGAATACAAGAGAGAATTAAGAAAAATATTAGGATCACAAAAGAAATTTTAGAGAATGAGGAATTTAAGAATAATATTAAAAAATTATTGGAAGAAGAAAGTGGGGATATTACAGGAGAAAGATGGGAGATAGTAAAGGGAAAAATTGGAGGTTTGATTGAGAAGGTATGGAGAGAGGTTAAAAGGGATAGTTTTAATAAGGTTAAGAAATTGAGAAGAGAATTAACTAAGGCTATTATTATGAAAAGAGGAGAAAAGGAAATTGAAATGATAGATGGAAATTGGTAAGGAAAGTGAGAAAAGATGTGGAGTTATGTGAGATATAAAATGAAAAGGTTAAGAATTGGAAGAGAAATAGACACTAGTTTTTATGAGAGGAGAGAGAAGAAAAGAGAACAGATAAGAATTGCTGAATTAGTGAAGGGTGATGAGATAATAAAGGAAGAGAATCACACAGGAAGAGATTAAAGATGCGGTTATGCATTTGAAAGTTAAGAAGGCCCCAGGTATGGATGGCTTGACTCCAGAGCTGTATATTTATTTTATTAAGGATTTTATTCTTTATATAATTGTAAGGATCTTAGTGAGAATTTTAATGTGGGGAAGATGGTTTTGATTAAGAAAAAAGATGAAAATTGTACTGTGGAGGATTATAGACTGATAACATTGTTAAAGTATGACTTTAAAATTTATGGATTTATTATTGCTAAGAGGTTAGGTGATATATTTAATGCTGAGATAGTGAATACTCAAAGAGTATTCACTATCTCAGTTGTAAGAAGATCAACACAGAGTAATATGTTATTTTTGGTGTCAGAAATGTGTAGAGAAATAAATACCATTGTCTATACTTTCGATAGATATTTGTAAAGCTTTTGATACAGTTAATAGGGTAATTTTGTAGAAATTACTAAGTAGATATGGGTTGAACATTAATGAAGTTAAAGTAATGAAACAATTCTGTGATGCATCGAGAATATCCATTACTGTTAACAATGAAATGTCAAGGGAAGTTGAATGTAGGGCGTGGGTAGGACAGGGTTGCCCCTGCTCTATGATTTTGTTCATGATTTACATGAATTTATTTTTAAGAGTTATTCAAAATGGTAATCTTATTGAAAAGTATTTTTATACCAGGTTTAAGAGAGAAGGTTAAGTTTTTATGTCACGCTGATGGTGCGAGTTTTTTTTGTTACAAACAACTTCTCTTTAGAAAGGATAAGCGTGATATTTTTAATATATTGACTGGTATGAAAATCAATTTATGTAAAAGTAAATTATTGAAAATTTATGGTAATGTGGATAGTGTAAACTTGAATTATGAAAGGGTAAAGAGTACGAAAATTCTTGGTGTATGGATTGGGGAAAATGCAGTTAGTAAAAATGTTGAATTAATGTATGGCAAAATTGAGAGTGCATTAAATGAATGGGAAAATAAATGGCTATATTTGCCTGAAAGGGTAGTAAATAGCTTAGTTATTCCAAGAATTGTATACTTATATGCTACTTATCTGAAAATAGAAGATATTAAGAAGCTAGAAAAACCAATTTTTAATTTTATATGGAAAAATACCTTTGAACCCATTAGTAGGAGAATAATGAAATGTAATATTGTTAATGGTGACTGGAATGTAAAAGATCTGAAGTCATTTGAATGTTTGCTGCATATATCAATGTTTATAAATAATTTGAAGAAAAGAGGTCATCTTTTGTTTTATGTGTTATATATTTTGGGTCCAACAACAAAGAGAATAACAAAGATGGAGGGACAACATCCCTTCATTGTGAATAATAATAATAAGAGATATTGAAAATGGAGGGAGGATATAAAAAATATTTTGTATGGTGATAATAATATAGTTGAGAATGATTGTAAAATAAGACCAAATAGAATTTATAAATATTTGTATAAACAATAAACTAGTGAAAGTGTGGAGAGAAATTCTGTAAATTGGATTGCTGTATGGAAAAATAATACTGCAATGCTCCAATATCATAGGCATCCAATATTTAAATGTTTTGTTATAACTAACATTAAGTTATTTTATGTAAAGTAAATTAATGTTGTGTTATTTGTTTATAAAAAAAAGACAGTTACTCTCCTAACATGACTGGGTGGACACTTACCTCTGCATCATCTCTATTTTGATTACTAGTCATTAATAAACGGTTAAATTTACTCTAGGTATCCAAGATGGCGGCGATCGCCATTAACTAAAACGCGCCTATAATTAAACTTTTTCTTTTTAACTAAGGTTAATGTCCAGATACGTGGACCGTCATGGCGGCACTTCCTGTTTCAGCCTCGAAACCAGACGGTTTGCAGACGACGTGTCACGTGACNCAAATACAAAACATACTTGTAAATGTATATATTTTAATATGATTTTATGTGCTTTAAACGCTTTTCTAATGATATTACGTCTTCAATATTTGTGGCGGACGGACGTAAAGTCGAATAAAATGACTTAAACTTGATTTTTATTTTTCCGTATACTTTTGCGTATATTTTTCCGTTACGATTGACAAACGACGTATAATCGGGAACGACGTAACTCGAAACGACGTAAGTCGAGGTATACCTGTATAAAGTGAAACACAAAACATATATGCTTAACTGGATGATAGCGCTAAGTAAGAGGGCATTTTGGAAGCATAGATGTGAGCAACTGTATGATAAGAAAGCATTGAGCTCTACATCGGTGATAGCAAGGATAAAGGGTTTGACTGAATTAAAACTGAAAACAGACATGGCGACAATGACAAGAAGAGAAATTGAGGTCTGTTATGATGGAACGGAAGGAAAATTTTGGGAAAGAAAAGAAATGAATATAGAATATTATGTTAACACTGACAAGTGTGTGACATCTTTATTTTAATGTTTGATGGTTTTGATCTTTATATCTTTAATTGTAATGGTTTTTTTAGTGATTAATATTAAATTTGTAAGTACTGGCTGTGTATGCCAGTTATACAACACTGTGTCAATTTAATTGTATTTTATGCAAAGTTTTGTAACGATAAGTTACTGTTTCGTTAATAGTTTATTGATTTATATGTTGGCACATGTATCGTAAACCTTTTAGAATTGTTAAGTTATGTAAAGTTCTATGATGATGCTATTGTAATATCTAAATTGATGTAAATGATTTTTAGAATGGTAAAGATTTGAAAAGGTTAAAATCAAATAGCAATTGTTTAATGTTAAAAAGTTTATTGATTATTTGTTTAATATGTTGCAATAAAAGCTTCAATTTAATGTTATGGATGGACATAGTGCTCGTGACAAAACTTTCACGAGCATATCATGTACTGTACAGTACTTTCCTTGACTTAATAAACTTTATATATTTCGCCTTTTACTAAAGATTACCGTGGAGGGGAACATTACAATGAGCCTATAGGCAATTTTTGAAATCCCGCTTTACGCGGGATGATTTCCTAATCAAAAAGTAGACCAAATAACTGTTTTATGGGTAGGAACACACATGCGTAAAATTTGGAGTAAAATCTAGAATAAAACAGAAAGCGTAAAATTTTTCTGAAATTTTGGCTGAAACACAACTGAAAATAGAGTAGAGCATATCTCCAAAATTCCTCCAATAAAGAAGTCTTTTCTATCACGTCAAAGTAGACGATTAGAGTAAAGCAAAAGGTATACAGCTAAAAAAAAGGTCTTAAACTTAATATTAACGAATAGACATAGACATATCTAGATGTAATTTTAAACGCTGAATCGATTGGTATTAAAAAAAATTACTTACTATCAACCGTTTAAAAGTTACGAACGATTTTTTTTTTGGTAATTGTGCATATTAAGGGAATATGAATTTTTTTAATTATCTAACCTATTCTAATAATATAATTGGTAATAATTATGCTAATTTATTAGAATAGGTTAGGTTAGGTTAGAACGTGCGTCGGTGCGTCACGTGACACGTCTGCAAACCGTCTGGTTTCGAGGCTGAAACAGGAAGTTCCGCCATGACGGTCCACGTATCTGGACATTAACCTTAACGAAAACATTTTTAAAACGTAAATTTGCTACTTACTTTTTCTCGTGCTTTTGGTTTCATTTCCTACTTTTGGATCGGAGACGAAAAAAATAGTCACCACACTACCTGAAAACCATCGATAACTAAACGTAGTGAATTATGAGATTGGATACATCAGTGATTCGAACAGGATTTGACTGGACTGCAAGTATAAGCTTATGCTTCGGCTGCGAGATGCGGTGTGTCTCCTCGGCGGGCGGAACCTGCGGTGTTCGTCCACCTCGTCGTCGCTGCTTCGGCCGCGCGCGCGGCTGCAGCATACAAATATAACATCACCTATGTTATGAACAGTAACGATGAATTACTAACCTCCGGGAGATCCGTCGGGAGCAAGAACAGTCGAATGCCACTTAATGGAAAGTTAGTAGAAGTTTTAACCGACAGATAAACAGTAAAAACAATTGGCCACATTTTCCTACTCGTTAACTTAAAAAAAAAAACAAAATTGTACAAACTTAAAAAAAAACACGAACTCCATTCGAAAAGATAACGACACGCTCCGTTCGTCTATACCGTAACCGAACTCAAAATTTGCATAATTCCTCATATTTTCCGAGTGGAAATTTTTGAAGAAACCGTCATTACGACAAGCGTCGTCTACATTTCATTTCTAAACGCGCATGCCGTCGAGGTTACCGAATGGGCCGCCATCTTGGATACATAGAGTAAATCTAATCGCAAGCAATTTGAAAAATACAGTTCCAAAATATATGGGTCGCATTGAGAATTCTGCAGAAAATCTATGTAACGGCAGCAGCAAAAGCTTAATTTAGGTAGTCTCTATGGCGGCACTTCCGGTGGCCATTTCGTTTGTGTCCACAAACAAGATGGCGACGGCGCAGCTACTTACTACACCGGCATTTAAAGAAAAAAAATGTTCACTCACCGTTGACGTATTCCTAATTACTTTTCTCAATAAAAAACACGGTTCGGATGATTCTTTCGTAACTTCATCCTTTTCCATCGTAGAAACTTTTTCCGTATTCTTAACACACGTCTACATTCTTCCTGTTATGATTTTCGGATTTATTAGTACAGTAATTACTTTCAGGGCTGAAGCTACAATATCTGGCACTTTCCAAACTAAAACACGCCCCGCTCCTGAATAAAACTTACTCGTACGCTGAACAAACAGTTCGAACCGTTGTTTTCTTAATTTTACCGGAGTGAAAATTGGATGGGCCTGGAAAGGTGTCGAACCGTTCTCTTAGTTTTTTCCTTTTGCTCACAACAATCTCGTCGATTTCGATACCTTTCCAGGCCCATCCAATTTTCACTCCCGGTAAAATTAGACTGTGAAATCATCATAATGTGTAGCACGAAATTCGTCCAGTCAACAGTTGTTCGACCACTCACACCCACAGCCAAACAAGTGACGCTCAACGTACCGTACACTCTATGCAAATTAGATGCAAAATAAAGAAAAAAGTAGTTCCCCAAGAAATTTTCTCAATTTTAAAAATTACTTCAAATGACGAACTGTTTGTCTTGCATTTATGACATCGAAAAGAAACAGAATCACGATCGTTTCGATAATTTCATTTACGACGATCATCACATTTCGAACAATCTGCATCCGCAGGCTGCGTACAAAACTTAACATCCGATGAAATTCTCTTGTCAAGATTAAATTCAGGATATTCCGATACTAAAAAAGTGAAAGAAACCCCTTGAAGTACACTTTTGCCAAGATAATTGTCGATGTTTTCCAAACTCCGCCATTACAAAAATAAACGACAAAATATCAAATGTAAACTTCGAGAAAGAAAATTCACACAACAATATATAACTTTTTAAACCTGGATAATTAAATTACTCTTAACAAAGTTATAAAATGTTAGGAAACTAATCTAGAACCGAAATGACGTTAGAAATCTTGTAAACTAAAGAAGCGACACCTAGATTAACTTTCAAAACACACGTGTTGTCGAGATTCCGGAAGTGCAGCCATAAGGACTGCTTAAGTAAACGTCTACCTATAAAATATACATATATATAAAGTTTAAAATCAATAATTTTTATTTGTAACTATTTTTATATGTTTTCTATCTGAGTTAATAAAAATAAAATATAAATATTGAAGTTATGAAATTTAACAATAGAGTCGTGCGGTCATTTATTCGGGGGAAAATTTTTGAATTGAAATAACGTGACTTCCGGTTTGTATCGGAAGTTCTTATATAGTTAATCGGGGCTCCTGCCCCCAAGGTTTCCATATCTGATCTCGTCTTTATCTAACTCGTTTTCGAGATTAAGGAAAGACAAACGGATTAAAGAAGTTATTTTTTTTCTTTACAACTTGGTAATTTCTCTCTGTCGAAATCACCCGTTCGCTTCGCGGTTATAAAAAGTAAGGAGTCAAAAAATAGATTAACATTTATTTGGTAGCAATATACAGTATATACATTATAAAAGGGGCGTCGGATGGATTTGAAGTTACAACTGTCTTCATGTGTTTTTCGATTGTCTCCTCGAAGAATTTCTGGGCATCCGTGCATCTGACAGGAGCATGGTCGTAGCTATCTGTTCGACGACTAAACTGCGAATAATTCCCAAGGTATGGCAGGTAGAAATTCTGGGACGGCATTGAGAACAAACTATGTGTCCGTTGGTACATTGGTACACGGGTGGCTGCACCAGATTATAGCAGATGGGACAGCGTAACAAGCAGGTTAGGATAGAATCGGATGGAGTCGAGCGAGTCTGTAAATGAGAGAGATGTAGGTGTTATTTCTTAAAAGAATGATTGATTTTTTTTTGTTATTATTAATAGCGAGGTTGCGGCCGAAGTTTTCATCGCTGAAACGTGAACTCCGAACGACGAGCGCCGCTTACAAGATAGCGGCGCTCGACGTTCACGTTTGAGCGATGAAAACTTCGGCCGCAACCTCTCTAGTATATCTAATTATTAAAGTATGTAAGTGTATCTAACGTTAAGTAATTAATGTAGTAAGGGAGTTAAGTTCTAATTATTGTTAATAATTAGCTCTTAACTCTAATATACGGGCGTTAATAATTAATAAATTACCGTCTTCTTATAAGATTTACACGAGAATTTAGGACTCGATCTACAGGTGTAGGTGTTAAAGTGGAGTTGCTGGAAGCGTCTCGGATATACTCTGCCAGTTCTACGGGTGAGACGTGGATGTTGGCGAGTATTTCGACGACAATAATAAAATGTCATGGAGAGGCTTCCAGTTCCCAAGATGGAAATAATCGTGATTAAGGTGAATGCGGGGGCTTGGGGACCGTCAAATATTGGATTACGGGAATTTAGGGTAGAACCTGGCACCAGGTGCGAGTTGTCGGACATACCTTCGATTTAGAGAAGAAAAACTAAAAAGGCAGATGGTTAAGGCGCGAGGTCCCTCCAAAGTCAGGAATGAGCCTCTCAGGAGGATTAATGCAAAGTAATTTAAGAATAAAAGAAAATTTATTATGGAAAAACGAAACATAACATTTGAACTTAGTTTAAATTAATAGTAAGTACAAAATCTGTTTTAGGGTGTTAGCCTATTACTATTTATAAAACGGGTAGTACCTAGCGGGGTTATCCGAACTTCGCGACTCACAACATACCAGGGAAAGAGTTGTCTTCTCTTCTAGGAGTTGAATTCCTTTCTGGATGCTGTGTTGATTTTCTTCTTTTCTTTCTGCTTTCTCTTTCTCCTTTTCCTTCACTTTATCGCTCTTTCATTCTCTTTCACTCAGTCCCTCACTAAGTCTTTGATTTTCTCATTTCCTTTTATCTTATTTTTCGTTTTGACAAATCATGATTTTGTTCCGGAGGAAATTGAGGTAATTTACGATAAGCATGATTGGTCATCCTTTAGTCCCTCTCTCTTGGCTATTAAGAATTATGCATTCACGTGACATGGATAGAGTAGCATGAGTCATCTAACACCAATGAAAAAGGGGAAACGATGGCCATCCCCTTTGTCTTTTCCGTCGCATGTTGTGAGATTTATAACAATGGATAATATTTTTTATTCTAATTCGTTTCTCTGAATTATTTTTAATCGGGTCCCTAAAATCGGGAAAATAGGCGAAATTCCTTTACAACGTTGGTTGATAAACAAACAATTCCGATGTCGCATTCACATACATCAGATGTGGGTGCAAAGGGCGTCCCATCTGGTAGTTAACAATTGTTCATTGCACAACCAGACAAAACAAAAACAGGGATATAAAATACATACTGTATATAGTTTAAAATACAATAAATTGATTAAGATTTAAATTATAATGTTAATAATAATTCGAGAAAAAATATATATATAAACAGGTCTATAATAATAACCAAAGTTTTGGGAAATGGTGGGCCTCGCGACAGTAATTGAACAAGACGTCATAAAATTCTATTTCATGTAAATTTCGCATATAGTAAACATATACGACGTCTTATAACAGCGAGAAAACATGATTTCGAGTAATTTAGAAGCCTACAAAGCCAGGTGGAGAACTCTCGAGAAAAACTGCGAGAAAACGACGAGTGAACTTTGAGAAAACTCAAAGTGGGAACTGCTACGCGAAAATAACCTAAGGAGAACGGCTTACCAGGAGAGAACTCCAAAAAAACGATTTGTTTACCTTTTTATTCCTCGAACCTCCTCCAATCAGAAGTTACTAAGACACACCACGTGACGGGATCCAGGGGTGCAAGATGTGTCAACAACATATGAGATAATTAGCGTCATCACGGGAAATGATCTAATCTTAGTAAAAACGGAAATTTTATTTCCCTCGTTAACCAAATTAGAAAGTAAAGTAGAATTTAATGATCCTTTTTTTAACTAAACAAATAAATTTTCAACATCTTTTAATATTTAAAATAAAAGCTAGATGGTCTCCGGGTTCTCGTACGCCTTTCCAAACGAGGTTTCATTTCCTCAATTACTACTCAATTAAAAATCGTTTCCCTCGACATTCAACAGTATCGGATTAATTTTGTTAACAAAATGTCTTCGATCGACAGACGAAATAAACGATAAATTTTCGATGAACTATGTAATTCGACGATCGAGAAAGTTAAATATTCATCGGGCAGCTTGAATTGTTTTGACTTAACGACAATCCACTTCATGTAATATAACGACGCCTATTTACGACATTTTCGGTTGCGACGAGTTTTATTAATACCAAATTTTGTCGTATGGCTATTTAAGACGAACATTCGTCGTAAGTTGCGCTATGAATCCGTGGTCCAAGCTCCATAAACGAACAAACCGATAAATTTGTCAAAAGCAGGCCATACAACTCAAACATTTACCTACTACATAACCCCCGAAGATCTCAACACTCGTCAAGATAGACAACAGGAAATATATGAACAATAGTAGGAATAACTATCCAAAAATCAATCGCTACCCATGGTTTACTAATGCTTCTGACATTAACGTACCCGAAATTACAGATCGCCGCATCAACGTCCTCATCAATCGCGCAAGAATCAACTCGTATTTCGTATTTATCGTTACAAAACACCTTTGTTAGATGATGATGTTTTTTCCTTCATTATCCGTTAAAATCAATAAATTAATTGTAGAAAAGTAAATGCAAATAAGGTAGTTATTATTTATTGTATAGTACGCACACACAAGTATATATAAATAGTTAATATTAATGATAATTTATAGTATTACAGTATTTGTTTTATTGTAATCAATGTAAGGTAATTTGGTCAGGTCAGAAAGTTGCAATTTTAAAGCCCAATTTAAAGTATAAATGAAGATTTTTTACTTAAGAGGATATATTTCATTCATTACACTCACTTTTTAAAAATGAATTTACCCGTAACACAACAACACAATATATATATAATAGAGACTATATAATTGTCAAACTTACGTAGAAATTAAGATAATTCATTGATTATTTAATCCTTTAATCGTAGCCATTCTATATAAATGACGATGAAAACAAAATCCGTTAGAATCGAATCACTGCTTTTGATTGAGTACTTTCACAGCGAATTGCATTAGCAATTATCCTTATTTTTCAAATACAATTGTCGGTTACAAGATCATAATCATTAAAATAATTTACGAGAGAAAGCTGTAGTCGACTCTTCTACCGGATGTTATATATTTAGCTCATTTTAAAATTAGATAGAGAGTTGAAGAAACTAGTTTTAATCGATAACGTATACTAGCGAAATCCCCCAACGACATCGCTACAGTGTCAATATCCTCAATTTCACGAGTGATCGCGAAATTACCGATGTTAACATTAAAATTTGTTTGCCTGAAAATGTTTCGTAGCTATTCGTTCCGTGGCTTAAAGGAATTTCCACAGTTTAGTCTCTTGGTTTTCTGTCTTCCATTTAAAAACTATGCAGTGAGCTTCAAAAATGTTAACGCTTATTTAATGGAATTGAAACGGATAATATACTGTATTATGTATTATACAGTTTCAAATATTCGCTATCATGTCCAGAATATTCACAGAATAAGTTTAGACAGCTCTGAGACGCATTTATATTAATATTTCTGACTATATCCTTTAAATTTTCTTACGTATTTAGCGACAAGTCGGTCCTTTGCATGTCTAGATATTACAGACATCAATTTAAATAAATAGCTTCATTCAAATCATTTCAATGAGAAAAATTTAAATATTAATTTGTACAGGGACGTACAATATTCTATTGTTAATGAAACAGACAATATTAGCAATTTATAAGCGTCAGAGATTGTATCAAAACGTATTTTTTTACCATCTCTTAACGGATTTTATAAGAACTCTGGCATATGTTTGAAGAAAAACATAACAGAATTTTAACTTATTGAAGAATTCTAATATTGATCCTTCTTTATAAGCCACGTTTATCCACGAGGGACGTTCTGCAAAGAATTATAAATATTTGATGCCACGCAAAATCCTAACTTTAGCTAAAGCGTGAAGTGGATAAAAATGTATCGGGGTAGACGAATGGTTTTTTTTCCATATGTCTACACGTTACATTAAATAAAATTAATAATTATTAAGCAAATAAGTTGCAAACATTTTATTTATAAAACAACAACAAATGATCAACGTCTTCCAATCCCGCAAAATACGTGGTCTAGCAAACTCAGGATAAAATTCGGAAATTTCCTACGAACTCTCGCCGGGGGCTGTCTAGAGAATATCATCTAATTATTTTCCATATAACTTAAGCAGATTATCACTAAAACAAAAAACAGATTATACTCACTTCTGTACAACGATTTATCTTTAATGATGACCGTGATGATGGTGATGGTGGCTGTCAGCGGGAAGCTTCACGTAGTATCCGAAAGGGGCAAATTTATGATGTCCGTGTCCTTGAGAAGGTCCTCGATAAACTTTAATACTAACTCCTCCGTGGTGACCATCGGCACTGACGGACGATATTACAAGGACCAGGCACAAAAATGCCGCTACGAACTAGAAAATAAATAATTTTTTGAAACCGAAATTGCCTATTGAAGCGAAAAAAACATTAGTTTAGATAATTTTTACGTGTAGTGTGGTGTGCTTTCTAAATAGAGCACGAAGAGCAGGTTACATACAGTATCTGTATCTAAGTCTATACACACTACAAACTAGCTTCTTAAATATATATTTTTATAAACAGCCGCATACAAAATTGATAGATAACTAAAACATTAGCCATTACAATTCAATAAGCTACAATTAGAAGAAAATTTTCTAATACAACTTAATGTTAAATTTACCATAAATGATAATAATGGCCGGTATTTGCACAAAACTGCACAATTCAGTAGACGAAATTTAGTTTTCGTACATAAAATATGATGTGCAAAAGTTGCATCTCCGTATACTAATCCAACATCAATTGATTTGCATATCTTACCTGCATTTTATTGTTGATCATGTTGATGTTTCGCACAGAAATGAGTACAAGAACGGCGTCACCTCTTTATATAACGAGCGTCCTACATTATTTATGGGGATGAACGGTACCAGATAGTGGACTTACAGATGAGAGACAGGTACAATCTGGTAGTGTTTTTTTCCCTTTCGAATTCTTACACTCCTGTTTCTATTAGTAGCCAGGTAATACCTTCTAGCACCCATTTAGGATACAGTTTTATACAGCACAACGGACATTCATCCAAGCAAATCCTATCATCACTCAAGCGAATTGAGGCCTTCCTCACGGCTCTAGAATAAATTTATACCTAAAAAAAGAGGAGTTAAAAAAAACTAAATAAATATTTTTATGGTAATGAATAACGGAAAATTACGCATTTAAATTTCCTTGTGTGATTTTTCTGCTTAAATTTCTTTTCTTATTAACTTCCACTTGTTATAGAAAGGGTTTAAATATACTTACTTACCTAACGAAGATTCATTCCAAAAGTATCCGTACAAGAAGCTTCATCGGTAAAAATCATGTTCATACATACAAAAATACAAGTCGTATATTTAAAATCTATATGGATTATAAACCACAAATAATTAACATAATCTTGGGAAAATGGCAGAATCCTTTGTATGCTGAATATTAAAGTTAGCAGCATCTGTTGGCCATTATAATTAGAATTTAATAAAGTTGCGGATTAATTGTCTGGTAACTTTATATTTTCTCCACAAAAAAAAAAGATCATAAAATGTTTATTTGTATCAAACAGGCTATTTTTAAATCTTATCCTGAATTTTTATCTTTATTAATTATTATATAACTTGTTAAATTCACTCAGGCGATACGAAGGATATAAAATTTGACATAGTTCTAATGACATCAGAGTTAACCCATTGAATAAACTATTAAAATCAGAGTTCGTTGTACTAAGTTGCAGAAAATGTATTTTTGACAGAAAACTTTATCATTTTATATCAAGTCTAAATAATTTTCTGCGTTATCATAAAATTATAAGTTAAATGTACTGTACAGTACATAAATTAAAACAATTTCTAATTCTAATATACATATTTGAAATTTTTTACAACGAAAATTCATTACTAAAATGCTTATGTGAACTGTTTAGAACTTATTAATCAAAACATCCTAAAATGTTGAAGAAAAAATTAATTGTTACAGTTTAAATCACACAATGAACCATGAAATTTTTAAACCAAAAAAAGTTTTTGAAAAATAAAATCATTAGAGTATAACGTCCATATCATTAGTATTGAAAATAGATTTAAAAAATTTAGAAGCCGTATTTAAAATATAAGAAAAATAATTACTGTTTTTTGTTTTAAATATGGAATGTCTTATATAAAAAATTAAAACTAGGTCTTTATCAGAGATATTTTTTTAACTTCCATTTATTCTATCCGAAGCTAGAATTATTTTAAGTGGAGAAAAATATAATTACAAATTAAGTTTTCTGTTATAAATCAAAAACTCTTTTAATGGTTTATTATATAAAAATCTTTAACAAAAACAATTTTATTAGCGTGCAGCACACATTTAATTAAGAATATAAATATTTTTAAATGAGACCATTTTATGTTAAGAATAAAATGCTAATATTTATCTGATCTATAAACATAATTTATTTTAATATATTTCAACAACAGAGACGACTTTTATTAAATTATTATAAAAATGTTTTGTTAATTATATCAGAATGATCCTTCTAATATTGTTGAGTGTGTACATAAACAAAATTTCCTTTTAAAGAATATCTGTATATTATACAAAACTTTTGTTTCAAAAAAGGTTATCTAATTTGTTATAAAAGTATTGTTTATAATATCGTGAAGCAGCATTTACTACTATTATTATTTTTATTAAGAAACAATCACCTTCCCTTTACACAAAGTTTTGATATTTCATTTATTTGAAAAAGTGCAGCATGTACAGAGGCAGCAGACTGGAAAAATGGACAAATGAAGGCTTTTAGGATACTAAGGTACAACGTTTTTCTACAAAATTGTAACACTGCCTTTAAAAAAACAAATATAATACAACACTAGTGAATTTGGTGGACACTTGGTCATTTCAGTTAACGTCACAACCAATAACAAATGACACTTTCCCTTCCACCTCTGCCACGATTTACAAGAACAACAATAGATGGAGATTCACTAAGTTTAACATATTAAAAGTTGAACCATCCATACCCATTGAAACATTGTAAATTCCCATCCACACATTTCTGTAACTGTTCAACATTTACTAACCTAGTTACAATATATTTGTATAAGAAGATAGTTGTCTGAAGAAATAAAAAACAAAAAAAGGACCGATAATAAATCTTCATTCAGACAAATGTCAAAAGCAGACTGAAATAAATTGATGAGGAAGCAAATGAATTTGCAATTATGTAATGTCTCCAATAATTAAATAGGATCACAAATGGGATTCTTTTGCCATAAAATGGAAGCAAGAATCAACATAAATATTGACACTGTCTGATTTCCAACATGAATGACATCTGAACTGTACATTTGATTGTGCCTTACTGCTTAATTATATATATAGCCACTCTTGTCAGTAACCAGAATTTTCTTCTTCATAAAAGTGCAGTTTATGTTGATATATGAAATACATTCCTTAGAATGACGTTAATCAAAATACATTCACATGCACTCAATTTTTATATGAATTATTAATATTCTACATGGTAAGTGACTCATTTTAGAGTTTCAAGTCAATTAAAATCCACAATTATCATCAACAAGGCCATAAACATGCCAGAGATCACAGCTTACAGCCCTTAAATTTCATTATTTGCGAGGCTATGCCTTGACACAATGAATGAAGAAATAAAAAATATGCATTTTGGCCACATTTTTAGAACTGCAAGCTATCTGTTGCCATTTAGTCCAATGTATTTCTGTTATCATCATAAAAACCAATATTCTCTGTTGCATCTTTCATGCATTTCACCCGAGTCGAAATGCAATATGAGTACTGTTAAATAAATTTGTTTAACCAGTTCTGAAAATGTTTCTCTTTTATTTTAAGAGCAAATTATTGTATATTAGTCCTCTTATTCATGCACTCCAACACACATACAATTCACTGGGTGGAGATTCCTGTGAAGTAGCAGTGATACATTTACATATGGACCAAGTATATCTGTTGGGTAAATACTACCCATTTACTAAAATCTTCATCTACATTTCTAGATATGAAGTTACACCATGAAATTTTCTGTATGTTAAAAAATTTTCCCATTAGAATATAAAATCTGGTCCAGCCATTTCAATAGCCCATCGGAATTTGTCCCTTTGTGTGCGATTGTAAATCTTTTCTACTGGTACATTCCATTTTTTGCACCTAAAAAAAATAAAATATTAATAAATTATTTTATGATTTAACATTATTAACTCTAATATAAAGTTTACTAACCAAGCTACTGAAATTCTGGGATCAAGATAATTTAATTTTGAAGTTCCTAAAGCTATCTGCTTATTTTCTTCTTTATCAGTAGCTTGAACTTCTAATTTGTTCAGTTGTTCTTCTAACTGATGAAATCTTTTCTTCTTTTTCTCATAGATTCTAAATATTTACAATTTATAAACATTAATAATAATAAAAATAATTAAAAACAAAAGATGATTTTAAATATTGCTCACGTTTTGTCTTTGCTTGTATTCGAATCCTTGTATGCTTGTTTAGCTTTCTTCAATTCTTTTTTGAATTCTCTAATTTGTTCTTCTTTTTCTTCAATCTAAATAAAATTCTCATTAAAAAAGAATTATAAAAAATGTTATTGTGTAGAATTACAATAATATATTACCTTCTTTTGTAAGTTTTCCATCTGTTTACTAAAAGTTTTAGGTACAGAACGCTGATGGTTGCAAAGTATAGCAACTGCTCTATTTGCTCTGTTGTAAGCAAGGAGTTTCTCAGGAAGAGACATTTCAGCTATTACAAATTAATTGAAATTTAAAAAATAAAACTAAATAGGATTAAATTTTTAAAAATTTTTAACACTTATACTATTTTACCTTTAGTAAGTAAATCTAATTGTTCTTGTAAAGTTTTAGAAGCATTATATGTACGGAAAACTTTAGCAGTAAGACCTTCCATCAATTCATTCAAATGTTTATTGAGTGTGTACATAAACAAAATTTCCTTTTAAAGAATATCTGTATATTATACAAAACTTTTGTTTCAAAAAAGGTTATCTAATTTGTTATAAAAGTATTGTTTATAATATCGTGAAGCAGCATTTACTACTATTATTATTTTTATTAAGAAACAATCACCTTCCCTTTACACAAAGTTTTGATATTTCATTTATTTGAAAAAGTGCAGCATGTACAGAGGCAGCAGACTGGAAAAATGGACAAATGAAGGCTTTTAGGATACTAAGGTACAACGTTTTTCTACAAAATTGTAACACTGCCTTTAAAAAAACAAATATAATACAACACTAGTNAATTTTACTCATCATAAAACGATAAATAGTTTGTCAAATTTTTATTCATAAAAATGCAGTTTCAACTGCTTTTTATTTTATAAAATCCATCTTCTTGCTCCACCAGAGGGCCTTTTAAACAATAGGTAGTCTCCCCACGTTTCTTTATGCAGCGAGAGTGTAGCAAAATGACGTCACGAGCAATGTTGGCCAATTAGAAACCAGTTTCAGTATGTTCGCTGTAAAGCGCTTCTCGAGCGCTGCATAAAGAAACGCGGGGTCTGTTAGCTTGTCAGTAGTAGTCCAAATTCAATACGAACGTTTGTTTCTTGAAAATTTGATTACGATTTAAATACAGTATTTACTTTTAATATTACCGATATGTCATCGAAAAGAAAACGTGTTGCATTATCATTAAAAGGCAAATTAAAGTATTTGTTTCGATTATCCGGATTTTTCCTTATCCAGACTACCTTCATCCCCAATTAGTCCAGATAATCGAGGTTCTACTGTATGTACTATTGTATATTTTATTATAAATTCTCAAGATATAATTAAAAAGAAATACATTTTGTTATTTGGTAAACTGTTTCAGTTATATCTAACAAACATATAATGAATTTGAATATATGGAGAATTCACAAATAAGTTATACTAAAGCAATGAATTACAAAGAATACATAATTGTACTGCATTTTTTGCTATATTATATATCTTTAAGTATTAACACAGGTACTACAAATGCTCAATATAGGCTTCCTTGTGTCACATGGCAAATGTCCGATCTATAATGGATTTCATCCCAAATCTCACAAATCATTTCAATATCTACAGTTTGAACTGCTTGTTATTCAAACCAGCAGATTTATCTAGAATTCCAGGAAGAAGCAAAACAAAAACTTGTCTTCATAGCCTCATACAAAAGTGTTAAATATGGCAATCATGATGGCCAAACTATTACCAGTATACACATCCAAGCAATCACTATGCATTTAAGGTAAGAGGCAACCTTGTAATAGAGTGAAGCAGTGAATTGAAAAATAAACCTCCATTAAAATCTTCTTTAACTGGAACATCAGATAACTTTCAAATATATCCAGGTAACTAATTCCAGCTACAATTGGCTCAGCAAAAAAGAAAAAAACTATACAAATTAATGTTTTTGCACTGTTAATTTCTGTTATCTTTGGTGAGTCCCATGCATGTTTCACTATGTCATGAGATCCCTATACTTTTATATTATGATGATTTATGATGATTTGAACCTTAGGGACTGTCCATAAATTACATCTGCATTTTTCTTAAAATTTTCACTCCCTCCTCTTGTCCCAGTTTCTGTAACTCCTCCCCTCTTCAGATGTCCAACAAAATTCAACCTCTCTTAAAACCTTTATCATTTTATGAATGATAGATACCATAAGTAGAAATGAAACATACAAGAAATTCTGAAATAAATATAATAAACTGTAAAAATTTAATGAAATAAACAGACATCCACTGAAGCTCAATCCATTCCCTCCCTTTTGTCCAACCTGTCTTACCCCCTCCCAGTGTGGATGTCATTTACAGACAGCCCCTTATCACTCAAATGGAATATAGTCTCATCACTGAAAACAATTTTATCAAGTTATCCATTCTGTTAATTATTTCATTACAAAATTTGAATTTTTTAAAATACTATATTTGCTTTAAATAACCACACCATAAATAAATAAAGCTTAAAATGCAGAGATACTTTTTAATTTTCTAATGTTTTCAGTTGTTTTATCAACTTTCTTCAGGAAAAAAATATGGACCTTGTAGTGATATCGGACCTTCTCGTCCTCCCTCTCCGGGGGTTTTCGTCGGGGCAGATGCGATCTATCTGTCGACGCGATCTATCCATCGACACGCTAACGAGGGGTCGTTAAGACCCGGGGAGAAAACGCGGGAAGAAGAAATTTTTGTAGAGGAATTCGGGACACGAGAGGGAGAGGGAGTGCGAAGTAGTGGTCCCTGAGAGCGAAATAAAGTTTTTTTTGTGGAAATATTAAACTGGTTACTTGGTGAGACGAACCGACGGGGCGGAATCCGCTGATTGAAAACGGGTTCCCTACATTGGCGCAGCCGACAGGATCGTGAAGTCAGATCGACAGGATTTTATCTGTGAAGAGAGTGATTACGAGCCAGAATAAGAAGAGTGGATCGGAACCGAGCTGAGTGTGTAATTGGGCACGGCGAGAAGGTTTGAGGAATATACAAGGTTTACACCGGAGAAGAGGTAGGAAAATTTTGTACTTGTCGGAAGCGAAATTCACGACGGGATGCTAAGCGTAAAGGGAGTTAAGAAGGAAGATCTACGGATCGTGGCAGAAGAGCTTTGTGGCACAATAGACTATACTCTGAGGGTATCGGAGTTAAGGGAACTTATTACAAAAAGTGATGATTTTGCTAGTGACCCAGATTTTGTGCTGGAGATTCTGACTTCCACTGTTGCGGAAAGGAAACGGAAGGAGGAACAAGAGAGCCTAAAAAGGGAACAAGAGAGGCTAGAAAGGGAACGCCAGCACGAGTTAGAGCTGGCGCGGATTAACGCTACTATTCAAAGCAGGGCGAGTAACGGTAGTCCCAGTCTTACGGACAGCCACCCGGGTGATGGGCCCGCCGGGAGTATTGAGAAATTGATTACGAGCGTGAAAACGTTAACATTGCCGGTCCCAACTAAGTCCGAAAATTGGAACCTATTTTTCGCATCTGTCGAGCGAGCGTTCCAATCGAAGAATGTGCCGGAAGAGATGAAAGCAAAGATACTGATTAATATTCTGGGAGAAAAGGCCGCAAACATTTTGATTTATATAACTGGAGATGAGTTAAAGGATTACTCGAGCGTGAAAAAATTAGTGTTACGAGAATACGAACCGTCCGCCCAATGCTGCCTGGAAAATTTCCGGAGTGCTAGGCGTAGGCCCGACGAGACTCACATGCAATTTATGTCGAGAATAGCGTCGTCTTGGGAATACTATTGCGAGTTGAGGAGAGTGAAGGACTTGGAAACTTTAAAACGATTAATCGTAGCGGACAGATTATTTCAGACGTTGGATGCCGACACGGCGGCCCATATAAGCGTTCGTCAGGGCGAGGGGTGGTTTAACCCTATCGATATGGCGAGAGAGTGCGACCTATATTTCGAAAGTAAGGGGAAATCACTAACTCAGACGTACAACGAGCCGCAGGGGTCGCGGCGTCTTTCGGAGTGCCACGGCACTGGCCAGAAGTACATTCCCCCGCCACTGAGAGACGGGAGGCGGAAAAACGGGTCCGACCATCGCCAGGAAGTAAGACGGAGGGAGTGCTTCGTTTGCAGATCAACGCAACACATTTCTAGGACCTGTCCGCAGAGGAGTCCGCCCGGGAACGATAATCGCATCCAACGACCCACGACGGATTGGAGACAGAAAGACAGCGCAGTAGTGGCGAACATAAGTTCGGGAAGTTTCGGGGAAGGGGTGAGTGGTCGTTCGAAACCAGCTGCTAGCATCCAACCTCTACAATACGTTACAATAAATTTGGATGGGCGAGATACTCAAGCCATTATAGATTCGGGCACACAGATCCCAGTCTTGCGCCCCGAGGACACTGCAGAATCTAGTGGCGAGGACTGGGGGACGATGATCTTGAGTTCAGCGTTCGGAGAGAAGACTAGGGCATGATTAATAAAAGTCCCTATGGCCGTTAAAACCCATCGCGACCAAACTTTGTTACGCCCTGTGGAAGTTATGGTGGCATTGACCAGGAAACTGAGGGGCCCTTGCCTCATACCACCAGGTATTTATAAAATATTGGAAGAAGAAAATAAAGGGGTGGTCTGTGCGGGAGCTCAAGTTATCACCCTTGGGGATGTGGATCTAGCCGAAACCCGGGCGTTGGATGGGAAGGAGGCACCTGGGGAAGAGAACAGGAAGGATGAAGGACAGCGCTTAGCTGAAGCCGATGAGGGAGACACGGAGAATTTACCCGCCGAAAAGGGGGCTGGCGGCGGGGTTCCCTGTTGGGGCGCCATCTCTGGGGACGAAGGCAACCAAGAGAGCGCGGTACCCGGAAGCTCAAACGCGCAAACACTGAGAGAAGAACAAGCGAGTTGCTATACACTAGAGGCGGTCCGAAAGGAGTTGGCACAAGGTAAAGGAAGTTTTGTTCTGGTGGACGGGTTGATACACCGCAAGGACAAGGTCCTAGGAGAAACGGTCCTTCAGCTGGTACTGCCAGAAGGTAGGCGGAAAAGGGTTTTAGAGTTGGCTCACGAGTCAGTTTTCGGAGCACACATGGGGATAAGGAAAACAAAAGAACGCATCCGATACAGTTTTTATTGGCCGTCGATGTCTCGGGACATAGCTGATTTTTGCAAAACGTGCCAAAGCTGCGCCAATGTAGGGAACCCGTTCTCAATCAGTGGATTCCGCCCCGTCGGTTCGTCTCACCAAGTAACCAGTTTAATATTTCCACAAAAAAAACTTTATTTCGCTCTCAGGGACCACTACTTCGCACTCCCTCTCCCTCTCGTGTCCCGAATTCCTCTACAAAAATTTCTTCTTCCCGCGTTTTCTCCCCGGGTCTTAACGACCCCTCGTTAGCGTGGATAGATCGCGTCGACAGATAGATCACATCTGCCCCGACGAAAACCCCCGGAGAGGGAGGACGAGAAGGTCCGATATCACTACAGACCTGTATTTTAAAGTTTTTTTTATGGTGTAGTTACAAAATTTGAATTTTTTTTTCTTTGTTATCATAAGTTAAAGTTTGCACCACTGTAGTCTATATGGCTTGAATTGTAGATATTTCTTCAAAATCTTCAAACTGTAGTTTGCACATATTTAATTCTAAGCAAGTGCATTAAATTGATTTCTTTGGATTGCAAACATAGGTCTGTTGCACTCATTTATAATCATCTCACTGAAAATTTAGACCTCTCACGTTCTGAAATCCTATATGTTACAAAGCCAAGACATAGCACTAAGCATGTTCTGCAACTGTATATGACTCTTCGATGACTAGCCAATTTCTAAATAATATCCAGCAATGCACCCTATACTTCAGGACTAGATGAGACTTAAAACATAAAGAATACTTTAGTATAACTAATTTGTATATTCCTATATTTAATTTACTGAATATACTTTTGAAACATTCTAAAGATCTCCTCTCAATAAATTTATGAATTTATTGATAAATGATGAATTAGATAATATGATTGTAAACTAAAATGAATAGAATTTATTTATAACCTAGTTTATGAGTTTATTGCTGTATATGTTTTTTCAAGGTTAGACTTTTTTTATTTTAGCGGCTTGTAAAAAATTTATAAAAGTGATAATTAAAAATAAAATAAAGCGGTATTCATAAATAACCTCAATTTATCATTAAAATTTATGTATAAAATTGAATAATAAATATAAAGTAAATTTCAAAATAAATTTAAATATACAAAAAGATTGCAAAGTTTAGATTTAATTTACTTTTTGATTTAAATTATCATCATAAATAAGCAACCCTAAAGAACCTTTTACAAGTAAAATAAACTTTAATAATAATGATTTTTTAATGAAATAATATTAATTATTCTAAGTCATTAATATAGATTGAAAATAGAGATAAACTTCTTGAAAACAATTTTAATCAAACTAATCAAGTTTTTTAATTTAAGTAAATAATTTTATATGTTCTTGTAAGGTTTTACAAGTGTTATAAGTATGGAAAACTTTAGTAGTAAGACTAAAGTATGACTAAAGTATCAATCCATTCAAATACTTAAATTGCAGTCTAAGTTTAAAGCATAGATAAATATTAACTTGTAAAGCAATTAAATATATAAAAATTTAAACTTACATTCAATCTATCAAAAAGGTCATCACCAGGCTGTTTGTTTTCCATAAATAACTTTAAATTCTTAAACACTCGCTTCTCAACGGCTACACTGTTTACGTAACGAATAGAATCTTTCCCGAGAAAATCAAAATCAACAACATATTGTTTACCATCTTTTTCTTCATTTAGGGTGATATGTTCAACACGCAACGAGCAACAACCAACAGTGTCTGCTGTTTCACCTTCTTCTTTCTCATTGCCTGCTCTGAGAGCCAACTATTCGTAGAAAAGTAAATGAAAAAAAATTATATTTAAATGTTTGAAAATAATATCTAAAATTTTATATATACACACATTAATTCTTTGTGTATATTAAATTGTAAGTTCAAAAAATATTTACAAATTAATATTAATACAATTTATTTTTAATCTTCAATCCAAACATGATTGTATTCTCAATTTAGTTCATTAATTGCAAATTTTGATAACAAAAAAATTCTGACTTTGAATGTAATTTTAATAAAGGTAATCAATAAATTTTAAAAATCCAAATTTTACAGAACCAGAAAATAAACTAATACATTAATAGTATTACAACACAAATTTGCCAGTTTCAGTTCTTTAGATCTTATAGAAAAAAAAAAACTCAACTTGTTGAAGATTTGAAGTAACCATAAAAATATCTATAAATATTATATTTAATAGTACAGTATAGATACAAGTATAATATAGTGATTCTNACAACATGCAACGGAGAAAAATTTAAACATGGGATATATTAATATACTATTATTGGGATATACTAATATACTATATTAATAATGTATTTTTTCGTAGATAATCGGGTATCCGAAAAATCGATTTTCCAAACAACCCCAGTCCCCAATTTATTCGGATAATCGACGCTCTACTGTATACTTCAAGGAAAAAATTAGTTTTATGAATATATTACTTTTACCAAAACTATTACAATTATTCCATTTGACAGTTTTGAAAATAAAATCAATAGCATCAATGTTTATATTGTAATGAAAAAATTCATATTCATGAATAAATAAAACAGTTAAACAAATAAGTATCAAGTCAAAATAGAAAATCACCTTATAACTGTAATTAATTAATGGGTTTATTCTACATTTTATCTAATTGTTAAAATTATACAATTCATTAATTAGAGTCATTTCTTTCAAAATGAAACATAAAAATAAAAGCAACATAAGAAATTTTTAATCATAAAAAAAAAACTCTTTATTCTTTCTCCATAAGATGTCTAATTACAATTTAATAAAATCATTTACATAAATATAAATGATTATAGTGATCATAAACGATTGAAAATTATAAATATGTATAATGAATATTAAGTTGTTATAATGAATGCAGTACTGAATTAATACAACTTTTAGCCATTAATAAATCATTAAATGTATATTCTAATATTAAAATTTATATAAATTAATTTTAGTGTTAAAAACATTATATGTTATTTTTGAATCGCTTGATTATAGTTTGCTTTTTTAATGTTTTCCAATGATAAAAATTAAGAGAGAAATTATACTTAAAAAACAAAGCAAGTATTTTTAGGAAAAAAAAAGTATATTTAACATTGCATTAGCAAATGATAATAATCATGCACACACATTACTTAACATTTATTATCTCTACATTCTCAATGGTGAATAGAAAAGTGTATTCATGGTTACATTTATCTTGAATGATATTATAAGCCAGTGAGAACTCAATGAAATCTTTTAAAATAATTAAAATCAAAATGAATGCATTCGAAAAAGAAAAAAATCACTACTAAAAAATTGGGAAAAATCACTACTAAAACATACAAAAAGATACAAAAGAGAAATACCTATATCATATAACAATGTATTTTAAGTAAATCTATTAATGTGTTTTTGTGTAAATTGTTTATCTACATTACATCTACATAAGCTCATTACTTGTTATTATTTTAGATTTATCATTCATCTTCCTGCATTTTTTATTCATTTTGTTTAATTTAAATTTAATACTAATTAACAAATAAACTAAACGAAAAAATTAATATTTATTAGAATTTATTTTGATGTAAGACATTACTTAAGTAATAAAAAATTTCTTTTATTACAATTAAAAAATAAAATTTATATTTAATTCTATGTATTGTTCAAAGTATATTTAAAAGATCATGAAAAGACATCATTTTATTTTAATATAGTATGTTATTAAACTATGAGATAATTTAATAACAAGGATAAATCAGAGTTTATACTGTATTTATAGGATAATGTATTTAAAAAAATAAAATTCTCAAAAATTATTTACATAAGTTTTATTTCAGTATTTAATAATAATATCAAACTTTATACAATTTTTTATCATTGAATATATATCTAAATAGCATTTATTTCCTTATGAGCCCATCAAATACATCAGAAGAATTTTATGATACTGTACACTACATAATCCAGTATACATCTATTGTTGAAAAAATTCATCTGATATCATAACTATTATTTACTTGTTTAATTAGCATAATATTTTAATATTTCTAAGTTTAATTTTTCTTTATTGTTATATTTATTTGAAGAAAGTAGAAAAATTTTAAATCAATTTAGAAACTTTTTTAATATTTTAAATTCAATATAAATATGTAAGTTTAACATGAAGAATCCACTCTGATGAAAAAAATAAAAATCAAAGAATACCTTCAGCAATATGATGTTTTCTTAATCATAATTCATTTTACTTCATTTTAATAAAAAAGGAGTCAGCATCAACTAAGGACGACTTTTATATTTCTGAAAAATTCATATGTTACTACTTATCCTAGGTATGTTTCTATTGATAAAAACTTGTATATTTCATTTTTTTTATCATTAAAGCAACTCCTTTTTACACTACACATACAATAATGCTCAAAAATTTAGAATATTTAAAAATTTTTCGAATTTTGAAATAAAAATCACTACAATAGTATGTTATTCAAGACTATATTAAGCTTTCTTAAATTCAATTATTAGAAGACATTTTAATATGCATTATTTATACAGGGTATATCAGAATGACGTTTTAAAAATTTGGGGGATTGTAGAGGATGAAATTTTGAACGTTTTGATATAAGGAACCCATAGCCGGAAATGTGATATAAAGTTTCTACAGCACTTTGCACTCGGTATGCTGAATGAAACAGCAGAATACAGTATTTGTGACAACTTTTATTGACAAGAGTTCAATCAAACTGTACATCGAATCAGTGGCTGCACTACTGTAGAGTAAATGCTCAATGTGACAACCACCAACTTCGTTATATAATGTACTGTACAATGACAAACCATGTTTTGTCCAACTCTCTGTAAGCTCCACTCTGATGGTATTAAATGCTGTAAAGATGTGCTCCGTAAGCTCATGAATTGTTCCTACAGGTGTTGCATACACAAGGGACTTTACATAACTTCAGAGGAAGAAGTCAAGAACAATAATATAACGTCAATGGACGGAGGGGTAGCTACCAAAGTGAAGGGCGGTCAAGCACTTTCTACCGCTGTAGAAACTTTATATCACATTTCCGGCTATGGGTTCNTTAATAATAATATCAAACTTTATACAATTTTTTATCATTGAATATATATCTAAATAGCATTTATTTCCTTATGAGCCCATCAAATACATCAGAAGAATTTTATGATACTGTACACTACATAATCCAGTATACATCTATTGTTGAAAAAATTCATCTGATATCATAACTATTATTTACTTGTTTAATTAGCATAATATTTTAATATTTCTAAGTTTAATTTTTCTTTATTGTTATATTTATTTGAAGAAAGTAGAAAAATTTTAAATCAATTTAGAAACTTTTTTAATATTTTAAATTCAATATAAATATGTAAGTTTAACATGAAGAATCCACTCTGATGAAAAAAATAAAAATCAAAGAATACCTTCAGCAATATGATGTTTTCTTAATCATAATTCATTTTACTTCATTTTAATAAAAAAGGAGTCAGCATCAACTAAGGACGACTTTTATATTTCTGAAAAATTCATATGTTACTACTTATCCTAGGTATGTTTCTATTGATAAAAACTTGTATATTTCATTTTTTTTATCATTAAAGCAACTCCTTTTTACACTACACATACAATAATGCTCAAAAATTTAGAATATTTAAAAATTTTTCGAATTTTGAAATAAAAATCACTACAATAGTATGTTATTCAAGACTATATTAAGCTTTCTTAAATTCAATTATTAGAAGACATTTTAATATGCATTATTTATACAGGGTATATCAGAATGACGTTTTAAAAATTTGGGGGATTGTAGAGGATGAAATTTTGAACGTTTTGATATAAGGAACCCATAGCCGGAAATGTGATATAAAGTTTCTACAGCACTTTGCACTCGGTATGCTGAATGAAACAGCAGAATACAGTATTTANAATTTGGGGGATTGTAGAGGATGAAATTTTGAACGTTTTGATATAAGGAACCCATAGCCGGAAATGTGATATAAAGTTTCTACAGCACTTTGCACTCGGTATGCTGAATGAAACAGCAGAATACAGTATTTGTGACAACTTTTATTGACAAGAGTTCAATCAAACTGTACATCGAATCAGTGGCTGCACTACTGTAGAGTAAATGCTCAATGTGACAACCACCAACTTCGTTATATAATGTACTGTACAATGACAAACCATGTTTTGTCCAACTCTCTGTAAGCTCCACTCTGATGGTATTAAATGCTGTAAAGATGTGCTCCGTAAGCTCATGAATTGTTCCTACAGGTGTTGCATACACAAGGGACTTTACATAACTTCAGAGGAAGAAGTCAAGAACAATAATATAACGTCAATGGACGGAGGGGTAGCTACCAAAGTGAAGGGCGGTCAAGCACTTTCTACCGCTGTAGAAACTTTATATCACATTTCCGGCTATGGGTTCTTTATATCAGAATGTTCAAAATTTCATCCTCTACAATCCCCCAAATTTTTAAAATGTCATTCTGATACACACTGTATATTTAGTTGAAAATATAAATTTTCAGTTTTTGTAAATAGATTTTAAGTTTGTTAAATTGTCTTAAATGCATCAATGTTGCTCATAAATTACACATTTTTATATTATCCACCTCTGATTTAAAAATCTGGCAACTGAAATTCTATGAGATAATAAAAAAATTTAAAAATTTATGCAATTGACTATTAGCAATATGTATCAAATCAATCAATTTTTATTGTGTCTTTGTTTTTTAAACTAGGTCTTGTCCAGTTAAATTTAACAGATATAGTAGAATCTCGTTTTAACAAATCGCTTGGGCTGCTGGAAATCATCTGTTTATCCAAGAACCTGTTATATCACATTTCCTGCATACTCAGAAAAATATGTTATTCAAAAAAAATTTGTTTTTTAACCCCTACATATAGAAAATACCTGTACTTGAAATTATTCACTCTCTCCAGATCTCTTTTCATCTATAGAAACATGTATGTCACAAGTTCGTATATTGTGCCATATGTGTGTATGACAAAGCCAATAGAAACTGTATATACAGTAAGCACACAAAAAAAAGGCAAATTACATATGCTCATTAGCATGTTACAGTTTGTTAAAAACTTGTCCATTTTGGTTTGTTTTGATGCCACTTTTCTGCCTATTGAATACAACAACCACTTGATATTACTGTCATATACAGTCTGTTTGTTTAAGCTGAAACTCATCAGGAAGGTCTTTACAACTTGAAAAGACTTGATGGCTTTGCTAAATTTTATCACTACACCTGGACCAGTCAATGTTCACTGGCTAGTTCGTCTTCAATCATATCAGGCTGCTGATTCTCTTCATACAATTCTTCAATTGTACATAACCCAGATATAACAACTCATCATTGAACTCTAGAAATTCCCAGAAGCACCAAAATGTTAACTAAACATTGAAAAAATGCAGTGTTTACAATAATGGGATAGAAAAAAATCTGTTATTCTGCAATACAGATAAAAGAAGGTAAAATCACATTGTTTTGGGCAAGATCTGAAAATCCATTATTCCGAGAAATCAACTGTTCCACGATCCGTTAAAACAAGTTTCTACTGTATTAATCATTTGTCAATAGTAGTTTTCTAAAAGTCTGTTTTCATCTCTACACTTTTTTATTATATGCAATAAGTACTTCAATGTATTAATATTTTTCTCAAAATTTTTAAAAATTTAACAGATATTAAAGTCAACATTTTAAATACAGTTTCCTTAAGTGTTATCATTTCTGTCATTAATATTCTTGAGCATCATTTTAAACAGAGTAAAGCAGTTTTGACTTGATACAAGTTTATTAATTGTTGATTTTCCACATCCTACTTTTTTTTCGGAAATATATTTTTGTTGTAGCTTTCCTCACTTAAAATTATTATTTTAGCTTTAACAGTAATATTTACATCAATTTTTTAAAATCATACTACAGAAACACAAATCACAAAATAAAAACAGCATTCATTTCTATATTAAACCTAAGATTGAATTATAACCTATATCAAAAAGTATTAACAATAAGATAAGATTAGTTTTTCTACATTGAATAAATGACAAACTATTTGTACAAGTAATTAAGTGTCCAGAATACATAAAATATGTGAGCAATGTTAAGTGAAAGTAATAAAGCTCTAAATTTTCAAAATGACGAAATAAAACAATTAAAAATTAACTAACACAACACTAGCACACCAAAATTAGTTTAAAGATATATTAATACAGTAAATATATATATTTTTTAAATGAGTGTACATGTGACAAACTAATTCCACAATGATGGAAGTGATTTCATTCACAAAAACCTTTCATTATAGGCAAATATAAAAAATAAAACAGGTCCCAACAGTTGACTACAAGGATACATCTTCTGCATTGCAACATCAATATACTTTACGTTGCTTGGCTTACATCCCTATCACTATCAGAGTGTCCAACATCTGCTTCTGAGAGAAGCTATGATGCAACTCAAATTTTATCAACTGATACACAGTCATCAGTGAGTAGCTCAAAGCAACAACATGCCATCTTCAGACACAAGTTGTAAAATGTATTGAGGTTCATAGTTCAATTTTTAAGCATTTGTTATGTTATTATGTTGTTATACATTTGTCATTAACATTTGTATCATTCCTTATTATTGTGTATGTGAGCAACTTTCAAACAGCTGTATCTTCAAAATTGCTGAGAATAATACCCATGTTCATATAATGTTTTTTTCTAACAATGACCCATACTATAATCTCCCAACTTATTTCTCTCTCCTCTTGACTACCTTGAATATATTAAACTTTTAAATAAAAAAAAAAATTATTAATTCCTTTGCAACTGGAAGAACTATATGAGAGAAAGAATAAATAAACAAAAATAATAATTTCTAATTTCCATTTTATATTGACATGTTTCCTGATAACAGTAAAAAGTAATTTTTAATTAAATCCTTCAAGTATCAATAAACCTACAATAATATTTCAATTTACAAGCTGACTTTTATGTTAGATAATCAAAAACCATACTTTCATTGACAAAAGTTACATGCAAAGTAGTGCTGGAAACAAATGAAACTATTAGTGCAAATATAATGACAATTTCCTACAGAATAACAGTACAATTTAAACAAACCTTCAATACTTTGTAGGATCTCCTCTTATCCGAATACATGCAACAATATGATCAAGTGCAAAGGCATACAAGCACCATATATACTATTATGAAATAATTTTCCCACAGATGTTCAGTTGCAGTTCCAAATCCCTCATACTCATTATGGCTGAAGCTGGAGTCTCATCTGGTCCACTAATGCTTGATCTGTGGCAAATCTAGAGACTGGGAAAGCTAAGAAAGTGGACTGAAGTGACAAAAACATTTTTAGAAATTCCTAACTGTGTACAATTAGTTTCCAGTAAGTTGATGCATTAAGAATTGTAATCATTTACATACTGTTTCAGACATACTTATATGCCAAGTTTTGCAGTAACAATTTTATCTGGATGTATAACTTTTTTTGGTCAATGAGTGTAATATAAACACAGCAAATGTTATTCACCATTTACTTAATTTTTATATATCAGTTGCATTACATAATATTGTTGAAATTAATGTATACATATAACATTATACTTTAATATTAATATTATCAATATAGTTAATATATTGATGATAAAAAAAGTCATAAATAATTAAAATATTCAAACAAGTATACAAACAAAACAGTTTTTCGTTGATATAAAGAACACCAATAATAGAACTATCTCAATATTATATGAATTATCTATTGTATATAAAACAAATTTAAAGACAAATAAATATTTTTTATCTGTCCAATACAGAATTAGATCTCTTTGTAAAATACATCTATATTTGAATCAGGTTTATTAAAACTTACAGAATATTTACATTTATTGTAGTTTCATTTGTTAAAAAATGTATGAATAAAAGATGAAATAAACTTATTTTTAGATAATATAATATTCTTATTATGACTTTATTTAATAAGCTACAACTGCTTTCAATAATTCTAACAATACACAGTTAAGTTCATGGAGTGATCTTATTATAGAAAATCCAGCAGTGTCTTACTGCAGATGATTATATAAAATTTGTTAGTATAATTTGACACTAAGGGAAACAAGTTTCAATATGTTTAGTTTAATTAGTTGGAGAGTGACGAAAGTTTTTCCTCATCAAAGTAATCTCAGGTATCACAATCAAATATGGAACAGCAAGCCTTGATTATTATATTTTACATTAATTTCCAAGAAATCAGCCATCAAAATGTATAACTGTTGAAAAAACCTGTGGAAATACTGCTTTATCAAGAACAACTGAGTGGCACAGGCAATTTAGAGAAGGAAGGAAATCATTGGATAATGATGAAAGAAGTGACTATGGGATAAAGATGAAAGAAAACATCAAAAAAGAGTGACTATGTGGTTCTATCTAGAAAATATTAACACAGGACTGAATGCTAGGAATGTGAATGCTCAAGGAATTGACTGGAATTAATCAAGAGACAGTGAGGATTATTTTAACTTAAGATCTTGGCAACAGAAAAGTCTGTGCATGTTTTGATTCTACTTCCTGATAGAATATGAAAGATATTGATGGCATTATGCAGTCTGAAAAATTTGTTGACATGGCTCATTTGGACATCAATTTTTTGAAATCCATTGTCATAGGAGATAATTTTGTGATTCATGTACAATCCTGAAATCAAACAAGTGTATGACATCACTAAGTCTGAAAAGACAAGAAAGTCAAGCAAAAACCTCATATCAAGGCAATGCCATTTTTTTTCAACTTCAAAGTAGTAATCACAAAATATTGTCCCTGAATGAAAAACTATGTGGAAAATTCTACATTGATATGCTGGACAGGCTTCTGAAGCACATTCATCATGTGTGACCTTAATTCCACGAAAAAATGTCTTGATTCCTGTTTCACAACAATGCTTTAATGCATATGTCAGCACTGGTTATGTAACTATTGGCAAAAAAAAAAAAAATGTTGCTGTGCTTCTACATTCCTCTTACTCTCCAGATCGTGCTCTGTCATATATTTTCCTATTTTCTAAGCCAAAATTAAACAGGAAGCTTTTGCTGCTTACCATCATTTAAAAATGTGTAACAGGAGCTGAAGGCTATTCCAGAAAAGTATTTCTCAGTAAGATATAACAGATATTGTTATACTGTTGTCGCAAAGTATGTGCAGATAGTAAACTAAGCTATTTTGAAAGAGAACTATAAATAAAAATTATGTTTTTGTGCTGCTGTAATAAAATCAGCCTAGAAACTATTGTTGCACTGTGTATGTTTCGAAATACAATGCTACCATCTGAATTGAAATAATGTATTTACTTTGCATTATGTAATTCATTATTGGGAAGACTATTCAAGTTTGTACTATTAAAATTCAAACTTACAAGTTTTATTTTAGCCTCTAATTTCATGCATGAATTGTACAAAAATAAAATGTAAAAATAGAAATGTTAAGCTATAATATTTTATAATACATATATTAAATTTTCTAAAAATAAAAATTACACATACTTTCCAATGTTTATGATAATATCTTCAGGTCGAACTCTTCTTTTTAACATTCCCATTTTTGGATGTTCCCCACGACCACGAAATAAACCTGGTGGCTCTATTTTAAAATTGCCAATTTTTTGTTTGTGACCATCAATTATACAAAATCCATATGTCTTCTGTAATTCTTCATTCTGTTTCTTAATTTCCTACATTAAAATGATTTATAATAATTTAAATATTAAGGTTTTTTTATATTTCATAAAAATTTTCACTAAATTTTATATTTATTACTTTTAATTAATGCAATTTGTTAAAATAAACAATTTCCTTTCAAACAGTTAATTTCAGATATCTACAACTAACTGGAAAAAAGTTAATTACATTTTTTTCTTCTTTTGTCATGTTTTTTCTTTCTTCTGACTTCTGTTTGTAATATTCATTAAGTTCAGAAAAATTACATTTCTTCAAATCAGTTATAAACTCTCTCTCTTGTGGTGTCATGACCTAATTAAACAACAACATTTTTAGACTATCATAACTACTCATTTTTTAATTTAATACATTTTTATCAAATATATTATGAAATTACTTTTCTCCAATCTTTAAAGAAGTTTTTATTAAAAATATCTTTAGTGGTATAATCATGATCTAACATTCGAGCATAAAATCCTGCAACCTCTTCAGCTTCTGAACTCAATTCTACAGGATTTCCTATTAATAACAATTAAAAATAATAAATAAAGATTTAAAATTACAAAGTAAATATTTTTTTTTTCTAATTCATTATTAAAAAACTTACCATTATAATAAAATTTAACATTTTTGGGAATTGGTTCATATGGGGGAGCAAATACTGGACCATTATGTTGAAGAGTTTTCCATTTAATACCACCATCATATTTCTCTTCTTCCCACCTAATTGATATATATTTATCTATTTAATTATATTCTAAATATACTTATTTAAATGTAGAATATGTAATTAAAAAACAAACCATTTCCAAACTTCAGCTTCTTCCTCTTGTTTACCCCTTTTTTTTGGAGTTGAAGGGGTCTCATTTGCAGTTTTTGTTTTCTTAGAATCCTTCTCTTTTTTTATTTTCTTTGCTGGCTGAAATTTTAATATTTTTATAATTACTTTTTAAATCAGATATTTATAATTTAGTAATTGTGTATGCTAAATGAACTGTCATATTACCAGGCTAAAATTAAACTAATTTAATAATTAGATATAAATAATTTGACTAGAGGTAGATGGTTAGGCTACCATCTCATTGTAATTTTAATAATTGTAATAAATTAACTTTTAATTTGGAATTTCTGGAAGAAAAGAATTGGCTTCGAGCAATACTAATCTGCAACTCCTGCTTACTGTGCAAATGCATTATTAATTATGCTATCTGGACTTCTGTCCAATTTTCACTTGCAGAGCTTTTAATTTAGATATAATCATAAAGTTGTCCTCAGTCAACAGTGAATGACCAGTACAGTTATATCTAAATTAATTAATTGGCCTGGAAGCAAAGATCAGACGGCAGTCCAGGTATCATAACTGGCAACACATCTACATGATAAACACAAACTATGGTTTGAGTCCCTCTCTGGGCCAATCTTTTCATCTTATTTTTCTTTTAGAATATTCTAAATTAAATATATTTATTTCTAATATAATCATAATATAGCCTGATACAAATCCAGCAGTTTGAATAATTTTTAAAAAATTATTTATTTACACTCCACAGCCTTATTTTTGTCCTCTTTTGCCTGTATACTTTCATTTTAATGCTACACCATAACATAATCTTTTTGAAAATTTTAAATACTTATAAAATCAATTTTCAATTTTTTGTTTATAATGTGCAATCAATTTAAACAAAAACCACTATAACAAAAATTTGTGTTATGAATTAAAAGCATTAATAAACGATATTTTCATTTGCTACTATTAAGTACCTTTGTTGAATCATTTTAATTGTCCATAGCTATTGAATTGATGTGATTCACATATTTGTGCCAAAAAATACTTATATGAAAACAAACACGTTAATTATAAACTGTTTGTTAGAATTGTAAATATTATTTAATTTCTAAATTATTTTATATAAATTTGAGATTGTATAATAAACTAATTATAAATCTTGAAGGACAGATATTTTAAACAATGGAAAAAAATGAAATGGCAATTTGTAAAAATAATGAAAAATTATACCAAGAAACAAGCTGATAGTTTATATCATATAGAGAATTTTGCAAAATAATTTAATATCATGCATTTTCTTGCAAAACCTCAGAATTATAGAATTAAAAACAATTAATTTAAAAATTAATTGTTTTTAATTACTATTTAATTACCATTTACTAATATATATAATTAGCATTATTTATTTATTAAATTAATAAATAATTTTAAATAAATTATCTCTTCTTAAAAAAATAAGATTTAGAATATAATGATAAAAAGTCAGATCCTATCAAATGAATGAAATGGACTACATGATGTCTGCTTAATCCTTCGGTGAACGTGCTCACGGCAAATTGCTGCAAAATAAAGATAAAGTCTTTTTTTATTTAAAAAATAAAGATGTAGTTGTTTCCAAAAAATTCTTATATAATTCTTAAATAAAGTCTTTTGTTTGATGTTGTACTTAATTATTGTGGAAGTATGTCATAGTATTCTCTCTTCATATTACGAGTTACAACTTGTTTGTGAAATCAGGTCAGTTATATTAACCATTTATCTGTTACTGGACTTTGAATCAAGTTGTATCTCATTTGTGTTGTAACTGCCACTATGCATCCTGCCATGTAAGTAAAATATCAGTTTACTTTTATAATTATTTTTTAAATCTTTTTAATAAAGTAGGTCAAAATTTGAAAGTTTATTGAATAAATATATTTAATTAACAATGCTGTAAGTTTCCAAAAATTTTTAAATTTATATTAGTCTATAAGTGTTCCAATCAGCTTTCACGAAATCTGATGTTCTTGGTGTTTTTAGGTCTCATAAACCTTTGAACTAGGAAGAGTTGGAAGGAGCTTTAGAATAAGTATTGGGAGAATTAATCAACGAAAGTGAAGAGCCAGAAGAAATTGACTATCACAGTGAAAGTGAGACAGAAGAGGAAATTATAGAAGAAAATTCTCATGATAGTGATTCCGAACAATCTGGGAATGAAATAGATAACATTGTCATAGAAGAAAATTGTGAACATGAGCAGACAGAAAAAGATAATTATCAATTTTATATAGGAAAAGATAAGGAAACTTTGTGGATCAGTAAATCTCTATATTTGGGTAAGACAAAAGCAAAAAAATATTATGAAAATATTTCTGGGACCAAAACCTATGCCCAAAGAAGTAGCAAAACCTGGAATTTGTTTTATTTGTGGCAAACACAAAAACAATAGGACAAAATCTATTTGTCAGGAATGTGGAAGAAATGTTTGTAAAAAGCATAGTAATATAGTTATTATATGTGCCATATGTGAAGGTGAACATCACATGGAAGTAGAGTGACTTCTTTTTATTATCTAAATATTTTATAACCAATTTGTTTATTAAAATGTAAAATTAGTTTTCTGGTATATCTGAATCATATTTTCAAAACAATAATTAATTATTGACTTAAATCAAGTAATATCACATATGAGGTGTAATTGCCGCAATGCGCCCTCTCGTGAGCTCCTGAAAAGCGCATTCACCGAAGGGTTAAATTATCTTGCAGCATCTTTTTGAAAAGTAATGTAGATATTTAAACACAAAAATTTACACCTTTCTCTATTTAGATATTTAGCTATAATAATAAATATTCAAGTTTTAAAAAATTTCCCTGTAATTCTTGAAATATTTATATATAGTTATTTATTATATAAAGATGTAAAAAGTAAGTCAATATACCTTTGAATCATCACTGTCATAACATTTTCTTTTCTTGCTTTCAGATTTTTCTGATTTAATATGTTTTACTTTCTCAGCTCTAAGCATTTTAAAAAAATAATAAATTTAATATAATTTTAAAAAATTATAAATAATAAAGTATTTTAATAGAATTTCAATATTTCAGAATCAAACTGCAAACAGTTTGTTTCTGTACTAACAATCAAAAATTTACTATTATTACATCTTGCAAAAATGAAAAACAATACTTGGTAGATTTACAGATAAAGAATTTCCAGATTACTTAGTTATGTATTCACACAACCATCAGAGAATGAATGTTTTCAAAACAGACATTTAAATTATAAATAATGAGTCATGTGATTGGTCATTTTACTCCAAAAATATATTCATTCAATCACACTGGTTTATCTAAAACAGATTAAATAATTTTCTATATTATATTTAAGAAAATTCATTTATTTCTGTTGATTCTAACATTATAAGTCTGAATTTTAGTTAAGCTGCAAACCAGCGAACTGAAAACATAATACACCAAGATTTGTGTATTTTGCATTATAATATTTATAATTTAAACCAAACTCTAACAATTATATATTTTTCTGAACTCTCCAAAACTAATATTAAAGATAGTTTTGTAATCATAAAAGCATTACTTTACTTTTTCACAAACCAAAATGGAATGTACGTAACAAATATCAAATATAATTAGGTGACATAATAAAAATATATGCTCATTATGTAATAACAATTTGAATTAAAAATTACACTCACTTTAAAACAGTGTAATCTATTTTTTAAAGCTAAATTTAATGGATAATCTTTTTTAATATTAAGAAAAACATCGGTAATTAATATTAGTTGCTAATACATAAATAAAAGATGTAATAATAATAAACAATGACAAATTATTTTAATACTGTACGGTATTTTTGATGAATATCTAGGAGACAAATTTAAGTAAATTATTAAAACATTACAAGTTTAAAGCAAACTGTAACTACTATTAACATTTTTAATTAGAAACTTAGAATAATGAAATAAAAAACTTTGTAATGATTATAATTATGATTAGATACTATTTATGTTAGAGAGTTCAATTTTAACATATAGCCATTAAAGGTTATATGTTAAAATTAGAATTCAGTGATGAATTAATTTAGTAATATGATTATATACCTTTTTGCTAATGGTTCATCATCAGAATCCTCTGAACTTCTTTTCAATTTAAAACTTGCAATCTCTTTTTGAGTTTTTCTTTCAGCCTGTATAAAAAATAATTTCATAAGTTAGTATATTAAAAAAATTAATATTTTGGAGTTAACTTTTTAAAAATAACTATAAAAATAGATCATACTAATGGAACATCATCATCACTGCTTGGTTCCATCTTTATTTTTATATGATTTTCTGATTCTTTCTTTTCTTGTTTTAATTTAACTAATACTGGTCCCTTGTTTTCTGAATTCTCTTTCTTTATTTTGATTTTCTTTTCTGAATTGTGAGAATCCTTTGGTTTTTCCTTTGGTTTGTCACTGCTTTCTTTAAGTTTATCTTTGCTACTACTGTCCTTATGTTTTTCTTTATGGATTCCATCTTTTAATTTTTCCTTTGGTGTTTCACTATTCTTGTGTTTTTCTCCTTCTTTTTTAATTTTATCTCCATCTTTGTGTTCCTTGGGTTTGGAAGAAAGTTTTTTGGAAATATCATTGGTTGATTTAGAACTAGAATCTTTGGTTTTAAATGAGCTCTTCTCATGATTTTGATGATCTTTTAATTTGAGAGTTTCACTTTTACTGGAATGTGATTTTGAACTTTCTTTTAAACCAGACAAATCTTTCAATTTTGAACTTGAGTGCATTTTATGTTCTTTATGTTTACTGCTGTCACTATGTTTATTACTGCTACTGTTATGTATATTATGATGATGTTTAGACGATTCAAGAATTTTTCCTTCTTTTCCTGGCTTACTATGATTAGCTACCTCTTGCTTACTTTTATGAGATGAATGATTAGAAATATTTTTGTAACCATTATGTGTTGGACTCATCATTGGCTTTGTGTTGCTTCCTGTAAGAAAATGTTTAACATTAAACATTTAATTAATAATGTGATTAGGTTATAATTTTATAAATAATTTATCAAATTAAATAAAATTTAAAAAATCATAAAAGGAAAACCTGATATAATAAACTATTATTAGTAATTTTAAATTCTAGATTTTAAATGAAATAAGAAATAGAACTAAAGTAATGAAACATGAAAAACTATACTTATTTGTTTTATATATATATATATGTATATAGTAAACAATAAAAATAGAACATTTATAACAATATAAAAATCATCTAATATCTTCAAAAATAGAATTTATACAGATTTAATAAGTTTTATTTAACAATCATCAATTTTAAAATTACAGCTTACTCAGATCTTTTTTGAAAAATTGTATAGTAATTTAAAATTTCTTGAAAATAGAAAAATTAATGAGTTTTCTCAATATCCAGAAGTGTTTGATACTATGTATTGCATTACTTATACTGTACTATCATGGAATTTTTTGAGCTCATTTCCTATAATAATTTTGCAATATAACCATAACCTATTAAAGCTCAGTGAAACTCTCCTCTCGTTGGCAGATCGTGTTTCACTTTCCCCATATATATGATAATGGAGTTAATAAACTAAAAGAAGCAAAATCTGTATATGTAGAAAGTACAAGAAAAAAATGAATTACAATTAAAGAATACAAAGAAAGGTGGACAGACTACAAAGATAGCATTAAAAAATCCCATATTGACATATGGGATTTTTTAATGCTATCTTTGTTTAATGCTGTATGCTGTTTGGCAGAGATAGGTTATTTGCAGGTTTTACTCAACACTAATAGCTTCTTATGTTAGTAGGCTAGGATGGCAGGCTTTTAAAACCATTGCATATTTGATGCACTCACTTTACAACTGTCTGCTGCTATTCTCACTTTACTTTCAGTTCAGAAGAACCAGTAGTACATTCAAAAGTAGAACTTTTTCTACATTCAACAAGGCAACTTTCTCAAAAGAAAGTTGCCTTGTTGAATGTAGACAAAGTTCTACTTTTAGCAACTTTCTCAAAAGAAAGTTGCCTTGGGTACAGAAGATTTGTGGCAACACTGTGTGATAAAGACACAAACAGCAGCACTTGCCCAGACAGTCAAAGTTATGACACTGCTGAACACATTTCTGCTTCACAAAAATAATTTGCAAAAAGGATGAAAAAATAAAAACATTTTCTGATTGTTTAATACACAATCAAAATATATATTTCTTTTACATATGTTACATTACAATGAGAAACCTACACTCATACAATCAATTGTCAAATGATGGGTGTCAGTCATTGCTAGTATATCATAATAGAAAAGTAAACAAAACAGACAAAAAACTGGAAAAAATCTTAAACAGCTGGTAAGGGCTCTTGCATGACTTTCCTCAGCACTCAAACAGGAGGTTAAGAGAACCAAAAAAAAGGACGATAAATTTAAATTGTACTAAGATATAAATTTTAATTTTAAATAATAGCTTAAAAAGAGTAATATTTTTAATTACAAAAAAGTTCATTACTTTTCAAAAGAGAGTACTTAAATTTAAAAAAATTGTTGTGCCATCTGCTATGAAATTAAAAAATAAATAAATAAATTTACAAATTATTATAAATGGGCAAAAACCTTATTTTTTGGATAGAAAGGCAAGTTTCCTAAATACTTAAACAAATGATTAAAACTCAAAATATCAAACTGGAAGGAAATAATATGAGAGAAACAGAATTCTATAATTCAAACACTATAGAATTATGGGCATCAAACATTCTAGTGTTCAGAAAAAGTCCTAGATTTTTAATTAAATATAGTTATTAATGTATAACAATTTTATTATATTGAAAATATTAAAAGTATAGGAAAAATGTACTTTTTTTTGAAAAAAACCATGTATTAAAAAGTTATACACATTGGGTTGTAAGTTGCATGCATGATGTTGCATTTCTAAAAGTGTCTTTTAAAATGCTTTCTATATTTATGACTAGTCTTATATAATAACAGTCATGAACCTTCCATCTCTCCAGAGAGACATCCATAAGTCAGCCAGGAGTTTTAAATAGTTCAGTCAAAATGATCTTGGCTTAGATCAGTGGGGGCCTATCATGGATCTCCTTCCAAGCCCAAGACTGTCTGATACTGTCTATGCACCTTGTGTACTGTGTTAAATCAAATCTTTGTAAGAGTTACAAGTTTATGTAATTGCAATATTTCTTGTTTTCTATAGAAAAACTCTTGAAGTATTTGTATTTGTTTGTAGTGTTGATTTAGAAAATCTGTAGACCTCATCCTCCCTTTACAAGGAAGAGTGAATGACTTAGGATGGTGTTTGCTGTTTCATTAATGTTTTCATTTGGAGTTGTTCTAGTTCTTTATATATCCAATGAATATCCAAATGAATATCAGTAAAAGAATGGCATATATGCAAATTACTTTAAATGTCTGTTTTTATAATCAGATGTGTTGTTAGTATTGAGTTTAATCTGCTGTTGTATTCTTTTGTTAATCTTTATTTGTTCTATAAGTTTGGCCTGTTGGAATCCTAAATATTTGTAGATGTCACCCTCATCCATGATTTAATGACATTTCCATTTCCGAGTACAAAATCATCCTTCTTCAGGATTCCTTTTTCTATGCAAAGTATTCTGTATTACAGATGCACATTTAAAAAAAAAAATCAGAATCTGTGTATGTTGTCTGCACCAGATGTTGTGTATATTTTAATTTTCTTGAATATTTTCCTAACCTCTTTCATTAATTTTGGTGTTTTGTTGTTTTTAGTGTATTGTGTCAGCCTGTCTAAATGTTGTCTAATATTATTTGTCTCTGGTCTTCTTTCCCAGGCAGCGTTATGATTTGTCTGTTTAAAATTGTGTTTTAAATTATATGTAACTACAGTAGAGAGGTTGTGGCTGTCGCATTCAGCCAAAACGTGAATGGTGGACAGTTGGGCGCCGCCATCTGGCAACTCTAGATGGTTGATAATGGCATTCGCTATGTCTAGCATGGTTAGTAGAAGATCTGTTTAAACTTCATTTTTTTTATGTTTGGGTTAAAACTATGACCTATTTTATTAAAATAATGATTATATAAGCATTTATGAATAATATTGTAAAGAAACAGACAATTTTAATCCAGAAATTATTTAATTATTCAATTTTTCAGCAAGTGATGTGATGTGCCTATAGAATTTACATATATTTGCCTTCATAATAGCTTATCTTAAGGTACGTTTGTTCTTCCTCGGCATCTTCCACTACCAACAGTGCGTAATATGTTTGTAAATTTTCTAAAAATTAATTTTCCGAGCTGCTTTCGAATTTATATAAGCCACTACTTCCCTCGACAAAAGCATGAGGTAGTCCTATCATATGGTAGGAGACACCACGCTAATTAAAAATAATTATTTAGTGTTATTAAACAACCTATAAATACTTTAAAATAGTTTAATTTGTTTATTTACCTTTGCTGGTAACCCTCAATGTTAAATGTATCTGCCATTTTTTCAACAAATTTCCAGTGAGTCAATGCACGATGTTCACTGAGTCACGTGATGTTGTGAATGTGCGCCGCAATGATTTTTCTTGGAGTTAAAACGTAAACCGTGTACTTCTGTTTGCTGTGTACAAGTAACATTTGAACTCATGCCGCAACCTCTCTATTGACTGCACTGTAATAAACTGATGTAATATATGACTGAAAGTGTTGATTTTGATTTGATGGATAAGTATTGCTAGTTTAAGATAAATACTTTCATTAGTGTAACAACAAATTTAAACTTGTCTTAAATCATTGAAAATGGATTTCTTTTAATTCAAAAATGTTTTTGAGGGTCACAATTTTTTCAACTTCCTAAACAAACATTTGAAATGGATAAGTTTCATAACAACACAAAGTCATAACTTATGTAACCAGATATACAGGTTAAAAAAAAAAGCTAATGAGTGAATGTTGTATATTACAAATATTCACATTTATAAAAAAAGAAATAAATGCCAGAAAGTTGTGAAAAAATAAACTGATTTCTCATAGTTTTACTACATGAGGCAATTTACCAATTATTTTACATATTCAAGTATAAACATCCAATAACCTGGTTTTTAATTTAATACTACACAATTGCCAGATTACATACGATTACAAATATTATTATAACCCAATATTCATATTTTATCCTCGGGTAATCCAGAAAACCTAAAACAAATATAAACAACTGCATTACATTATGATAAACTGTTAGTATAATACATAAAATAATAAGCAAATTGCCTCAATCAAATGTTTTGACATTTTCCCCAAAATCATGCATACTACTGATATACAATATTCATTCATTAGCTTTGTTTTTACTTACTTTATCTGGATATATATGATTTGATATCATTGTTAAACCTATCCAAGTATAACCATTCCATTAACTATAGAAACTTACCAGCATGCCAGTTAAACTGTGACTAAAAAATAAAATTAATCAGATGAAACAAAACTAGTTGTTAATTAAATGTTAACACAAAGCAGATGTAATTCAGCTTAGTCCAGCTAATTTACAGTCTGGCCATTCCAGGAAGGCATTCTCTTTAGGCGATGGACTAGTTTACTAACCATTGATGGGGGTATAAGGTCACCATATGACTGGTCAGCATAGTCTAATCCATTTGCCTGTAAGGTATGTCAATCAGATGCCAGCTGAGTCATGTCAGCTGAGTCTGCAAATGATTAGTAAAGTAGTTCAATACCTAAGGGAATGCCTTCCTGGGTTGTCAGACTGTACAGTGAGTTTCAAAAATTTGGTATGTTTATGTATATTATTTTTTGCATTTTTTGGATCAACTTACAATAAAATAAACATAAAAAAAACACTTTTGGCCTTTCACAAGTATTTTATAGTGTTAGAAAGAAGACAAAATGCAGAAATTAAATGTTTAATCATAGTTTTTGATGTAATCCTGACGGTTTCACAGTTTTAGAATAAAACCTCATTTGTTTTTTACATGCCCTCTAGAGAGATATATAACCT